CCTCGTTCATCTCCTCCTCCTCCTACTCCTCCTCCTCCTCCTCCTCCTCCTCCTCCTCCTCCTCCTCCTCCCTCCTCATCCCCCTCCCTGCTCCTCCTCCTCTTCCTCCCTCCTGGGGGGAATGTCAGGAGGCAGCTACTGGGAGGTCTTCGCAGGAAGGACCAAGGACCTGTGGACAAGCGCGTTCCACTACTCGCAAAGTAGCTACTCGCAAATGGCCTGGATCCGCCGCGGGGGTTTTACGATGCATTACATAGAGGAACACATGTTTTTGCTCGGACGTTTGCGAGTAGGCACTTTGCGAGTAGTGGAACGCGCCCGCTGACTTAAGGAGGAACCCCCCCAATAAAAAATTGCTAAGCTGAATTCGGCCGCGGAACTACATTGGATCAGGCCGGACGAAGCGGGATCAGGCCGGATTAGACGGGATCGCGCCAGATCAAGCCAGATCTAGGACAACGCCGAAGTCAGAACTTGACCTCCCAAGGGCTGCATCCGAACGGCCGAGTCTGGGAGGAACACGATGCCTTCACTCCGGAACGAGGCCGCAGCGGGGCAGGAGCGGAGTGCAGCCCACGAACGGCTCTGCGCTGGCTTCCGCCCACCATAAGGGCCTCGTTTCACTTCCGCCGACCTGCCGCCGCCCGTCTACCGGCTTCCGCGGCGGAAGAGATGGCAACCCCTTCGATCCTCGAAGGCAAGGCCCTCTCTGGAACGCCCCACCTGGAGGGGAGCACCCACTCCAGGGCCGAGCCGCGAGGAGGCAGACGAGGAGACCAACGATCCGCACGGCCCACTGTGCCTCACCGTGTGGCTGGCGCCAGCAGGGCAGACCGCCTGACCAACGCACGGGGGGCCGGCAGTGAGGCATGGGAAGCACGACACGGGCGTGGCGGCAGTGCAGACTGGGCCAGCGGGGGGCCGAGCGCCGCTGTCTAAAGGCGCTCCCCGGGTGGGCGGCGCTGGCCTGCCGGCAGAAAACCAACACGTTTGCTCAGAGGGTGGCGGAGGAGGGCGCGACCACGAGGAACCCACCGTGATGGGCCTGTTCTCCACCACCACCACCAGAAGTTGGAGGGGGAGGGGGTTCTCCTCCTCCTCCTCCTCCTCCTCCTCCTCCTCCTCCTCCTCCTCCTCCTCCTCCTCCTCCTGCTCCTGCTCCTCCTCCTTCTCCTCCTCCTCCTCCTCCCTCCTCCTCCTCCTCCTCCTCCTGCTCCTCCTCTCCTCCTCCTCCTCCTCCTCCTCCTCCTCCTCTCCTCCTCCTCCTCCTCCTCCTCCTCCTCCTCCTCCTCCTCCTCCTCCTCCTACCATTCGTCCTCCTCCTTCTCGTCCTCCACCTCCTTTCCCCCTTCCACTTATGGTGGTGGTAGTGGTGGAAAACAGGCCCATCGCACCAGGGTTGATCGCCAGGCATGCCGAGCATGTCACGCAAGCCGACCTGCATCAGGCAAGCTCACGCAGGGGACCGTGGCCTGAACTAGAAAGCGGGCGTGCACCGAGCAATTGCGTGGAGGAAGAGGGGGCGGAGGTCAGCGCTCTTGCCAAAAGTGGCGGTCTGACAGCGAGCCCCATGGGGATCGGCCGCCGCAGACCTATATCGGGCACAAGCCCTCGACGCGGAAAACTAACAACCAAGTGCAGTCTAGATGACACTTCAGAGCCAACCTGCCACAGAATCCCACCTCCGCCTATGTCGTGGAGAAAATTGTGCTGCACCGACAGCTTGCAAGATTGACGCGCTGCTCGGACTCAGACCAGTGCCGTCCCAGACCTGTCGATGATGTTCGCGGGACTGACCAGCTGCCCGGCGCGATCGTCAATAGCACGGAGGCGCACACGGTCGCTGAAGGAGGCCAAGATCTGATTCGGATTGAACCTCGGAGAACGCTGAAAAAGGATACGTACAGATGCCGCTGATCCCTGGACCTCTTCTGCGCTGAGTTCTGACCAGGATTCCGAAATGTGGAGACGAGGGCACCCCAAAAAGGACCCAAAAGGCGAACTCCCCAGGGACGACGTAATTACCTAACCCATGCGAAACAAGTGGCAGCATTGACGGGCGGATCCGAAACGAATGATGAGAAGGAAAAGCAGGCGATCCCTGCGAAAGCTGGTTTTGGGAAGCTGCTGCGCCGCACGCCCCGTGGCACCTGTACGAGACCAGACCGCTGCGAAGGACATGGAAAGAGCAGGAAGGAGCGGCAAGGATTTGTGGGTCTGCGTGAAAATCCACTCCCCCTGGACCCCCAAGGGTGCTGCAGAATCGGCGACAGCTGAACGCTGGGCAGCATCCGAGACGAGCAGCGTCCAGCCTGGGCCTGCGTGGGGCACCGCCCCGCTTGACCCCCCAGGGGCAAAACGGAACGGCAGCTGCCGCACACCTGGCCGCACCCAGGCGAGGCGAGGCCCCGTTCGGGTTTGCACGGGGCACTACTCACTGGGAACACCCAGGGGACTCTAGACGCCCGAAATGGGTACGGAAGAAACGGATACAATGCCCAACAACAAATGTTGTCCCAAACCAACAGCGGTCGCTGTTGGGCAGGCGGCCTTCTGTCCCAAATGGACACAGGCCGCGGCGGCGCGGACAGCGACTCCTGTTCAAAAGGAGAAGGAACTGCTGTTGGGTGTTGTACCCATTCTTTTCGTACCCATTCCGTCCGCGCCGAGGGGCGGGAGCAGCAGGGCGGCGACAGGCACACGCCTGGCCGCACCCAGGCAAGGCGCGAGGCCTGCCTGCGTGGGGCGCCGCTCCTTGGGCGCCCGAGTTATCCGGGATAACTCGGGTCCGGGGTAACTCGGGTTTGGATTCCCGGAAAAGGAACCCGAGTTATCCCTGACCCGAGTTACCCCTGATGATTCGGGGCTCTTGGACGCCCGATTCATCCGGGGTAACTCGGGTCCGGGGTAACTCGGGTTTGGATTCCCGAAAAGCGAATCCGAGTTATCCCTGACCCGAGTTACCCCTGATGATTCGGGGCTCTGAGCTCCGCTGATCCTTTTTCTTCAGGGGCGCAGGCTGAGCGCTGGCCGCTGCACGCCCGGCACTGCCCGGGCGGAGTGGCGTCCCGGCGGGGTCTGCGCAGGGCGCCCGTCGCTCCGCTGGAACCCCCTGGAGGAGGAGGAGGAGGGAGGAGGAGGGAGGAGGAGGAGGAGGAGGAGGAGGAGGAGGAGGAGGAGGAGGAGGAGGAGGAGGAGGAGGAGGAGGAGGAGGGGGGAGGCGAAGTGGGCGAAACCCACTTAACCCTGATGTTTACACCCGCTTAGGCGCCGCCAATCGCACGCCTGGCCGCATCCAGGGAAAACGAGATTCCGTTCGCGTCTGCATGGGGCGCCCCGTTCCGCTGGACCGCCCGGGGCGCAACAAAATAAAGACACTTGCACGCATGGCCGCGTCCAGGGAGACGAAGTCTCGTCACAGTCTGCGTAACTAAGGGCGTCGTTCGGCTGGACCAAACCCGAATGGCACAGCAAAGTAGCAGCAGAGGAAAAGGAGGAGGAACTCGATCTGTGGGTTTGGGAAAGGATGAAAGAGTTGGCACGGTGGCAACTGAATGTGCGGAGCTTTTACTGTCTATCAAGTGATGCTCTCGCGCCGGCGCTTGAGCCCAGACGGCAACCAGGCATCCTCTTCGAGCAAGGATTGTGCGGGCGACCGAGCAGCTCTGGCGGAGCCAAGAGACCCAAAAAAAGGGAACGCCAGAACAGTCCAACCACCACGCACGTTCCCAACCCGTCCAGGATACTTGGCCGCCATCTGGGAGGCGCTCTGGGCAGGCGGAGCGCGGGGCTCACTGACTCTGCTCAGCGAGCTCGCCCGTACTCTTACGAACGGCACTGAGCACCTCGCCTGAGCAGGTGAGAGACAGACTGCAAGGCGCCACGTCTGTGATGACCTCGGGCCGCGGGCAGATGTCCGAAAGCTTGCAACCGAAAGCCAGGCCCGGCGTGGGATGGCACCGAGATCGCTGGGACCCGAGGAATGGGATGGAGCTGCCTTGCACTGGTACGTGGGAGGAAAGAGAGAGAGAGAGAGAGAGAGAGAGAACAAAAAAAAAAAAAAAAAAAAAAAGAGGAGAAGTGGGACACCTTGAGGGCGCGCGGCGGGTCCGCACTGCGCCTCGGCCCTCAGCACTCTAATCCTGATCGGAACCCTCGGGGGACCGCTGAGGCTTGCCGCTGCAGCTCCTGAGCCCTCAGGCTCGCCCTCGCCCAGAGGTGGAAACCTCGGGGCGTTCTGAGCAGCGCGATGGGCCGATGCTTGGGCAGCATCCTGGCTCCCTGGCGCGGGGGCCGCGGGCGACGCCGCCGCCCCGTTTTGCGCGTCGCCCTTGCTCGGCTGGCCGCCGCCGCCGCGCAGCGCGCGCGGCTCGCCCGGCCCCGCGAGCGCCGATGGGCGCGCGGGCAACCGTGCCCTTGCGGAAGCCCAGTGGGAGGCACACCGCCGCTGCCCATCGAACTCGCGGTAGCCACGACCTCCGCCGCGCTCGGCGTCGTCGTCGCGCCCGTCGTCCAACGCGTACCTCTGAACGGGCGGCGGGCCAGGTGGCGCGGGCGGCTTCCGCGGGGTCGACATCGACGGCGGCCGCGAGACCACCTGAGGCCAGTCGCGGGCCCCTACGGGGTCAGGGCCGCAGCCGGACCGTGAGCCCCCAGCAACAGAAGCCCAGCGGCGCCCACAGGCCCCCTGTCCGATGGCGAAAGGCCCCAGTCCAGCGCTGCGCCGGGCGCCGAACGAAGCAGAGCGCCTTGGGTCGGATCTCCCCACCTCCTAAAGTGGGGCGCGCGCGAGGACCCACGCCTGCCGATTGGATCGCGCGCAGTTCTTGGGCCAGCGCAACCCGCAGGCGGCCTCCCATTGGCCCATCAGAAATGAGTGCGAGACAGGCGATGTGCTCTGAAGGGGTTAAGAGATACTCCATCCGCGAATGAACTCCACGACCTCGACGACGTCGTCCTTCTCCGACTGCGCGAGGGAACGCTTCGACAGCCCCGCCGGCAACTGGAGACGGCCCCGGGCGGCGGAGGCGCCATCGGCGGGCCGCCCTGACCCCGCTCGTCGGCAGCTTCCCCGCGGGCGGTCACGCCGGCATCGGGGGCGCCGAGGCCCGCGGGGTCGTCGCCATGGCCGCTGGGGGCCCGCGGCGGCGCCAGCGCCCGCGGGGCCGGTCGCGGGCGCTGGCAGGCGACGGAGCGATTCGGCGGCTGCGGCGACACACGAGATCCACAATGTCGGGAACAGCCGGGCCTGCCCGCCGTTGCACTGGCGCCTGACCTGCACGCCGCGGCGACCGCCACCCCTCGCGACCGCTGTCGGCGCGATGCCTGGGGGCCGCAGCTGGCGCCGACAACGCGGGCGGCGGGCGGAATCCCCGAAGGACGGACGGGGCGGCCAGGGCCCGCCACCGCGGCGCCCCAGTTGGCCCGGGGGGGCCCGGCAGAAGCCCGCGCTACACACGCGCGTTTTGGCGGACTGGCGCTTGCCCCCGAGAGGGCTGAGATCCGAAAGGAGGAGCAACAGCAGCCTCGCGTGGACATGCGGCCGCGCGCGCCCGCAGCGGCGACGGGCGCGCTAGCCCCACGGAGGCCGGCCAGCGCAGGCCAGCGCCGCACGCGGGCCCGCGAGCCGACGAGCGGGAAAATGGCCGCGGATGCCGCATAGCTCATGCACGCATACACATATCTGCACATGTACACTGTTGCAGAGGCCACCCAATTCCAATCACAACCCAACAACTCCCTCGCAGCGCCTGCAATGACAAACCCTCCCAGTCGACACAAAGCAAAAGTAGTGAGCAGCGATCCTGACTGTCCTGAACGACGCGAGAGCGGCCATGGGACCTCCAGGTGAGAGGAGACGAAGAGGGGGCAGCGTTGGCCAGGTTGAACTGGAGCACGGCGGTCGGCGGTCGCTCTGGTCACTGCTGGTCTCCACCTTCCACAGGCTGACGCCCACTGCCCGCGAAAACGGCGAGCTTGCCAGCGGCGCCGAGGGCGGCGGCGCATGGAACTCTCCGGCGTTGACCGTTGGGGACTGAATGAATGGAGCGCCGAGCGATCTACACTGCCCTTCGCAAGACTATCCGCGATCACGTTGCGGGTGCCCTCCCAGCTCATGGCCGAGAGCTTACCCGAGCACTGGAGGTCACGAAGCCGCGGCAAGCGCGACAGCAGCGAGAGCTCCGCGGGACGCTCGGGCCTGGCAACCGCCACGGCGGCGACGACCCCCATCAAGTCCAGGCAGAGCTCGCAGCCGGCCCCGCCGGCTGGCACCGCGCGGCGCGACCGCCGCGCGGCCCTCGGGCCACCTCGTGGATGGAGCGCAGCGGTGAACGCCAGGCCGCGGTCGGCGGCTGAGATCGCGGCCGTCAGCTCGGTTGCGAAGGTGCTTCCTGCCAACGTCTCAAGCGCTCCACGTTGCCAATGAAGCACATGGCAAGGGAGGGCCCCAGCGAAGGATGCCGCATTGGCGCCAAGGACGCGGTGCCCATGCGCAGGAATACTGCACCGCGCACGGCACGACCTGCGCGCGCGCCCTCCTTTAGAATATCCGGAACGCCGCGTCTGAGTGGATTCCCAGCTTAGCTGCGCACCTCGTGGCTGGGTAGTGACTCCTTCGTGGGTTAGCGTGAGACCGCCTGGCCAACGCGATGAGTTTGCGGATGTGGCCGCACGCGGGCGCTGTTGTTCGGCTCTGTAGTGCGACCACATAGACATCAAAGACCCATACGCGTGGCGAAGGCGAACGCCAATGGCATTAAGAGGTTGATAAACGTCTGAGTCAGGCGAATCGCTCTGGTCCAGTTCGCACCTACCGTCGCTTGTCGGCATCGGGTTCCGCAGCGCATGTACGTGCTTTCGGGGGTGCCCAACTCGCCCCCACCGAAGATGCCCTCCAAACACTTACGAAACTTCGCCCTCGCCTCGGGGGTTCAGGCCGCCTTGAGGTCGTCGACGCGCGTAATAGCCAGGAGATACACTTCGCAATATTGATGTAAGCCGCTGGCATTGGTGAATTGGATGGACCAGCGCCTCGGCGCCTCCTTGCAGACAGCGAACGGTTTCTCAATGAAATACTTCGCGGGCCGGATCGGAATCCTGGCGCCCTCTTTGAATCTGCGAAGACCTATCCTGACATCGGGAGAGAAAGCTCGAAGTTCACTTCGCGCTCATCCTCACCACTAGCCTCTGCGAGTGTTGCTCACACCGATCGGACAGGCTTCATTGACGCCCCACACATACTTCGTCCATCCTCGGCAAGCAGCCTCGGAGACGACAACTCGCCGCGAGAGTCGAGGAAATGCTGGCGCAAAGGGGCGACGAGATCGGCGTCGACATCCTTGAAGCCCCGAAGACTCAGTAGCACGAGAACCATGCGTACTTTCTGAGTGGGATCCATCTTCTCCCGCATCAATTTCCGCATGGCCACCCACCTGCTTTCCAGGATGTTCTGGCTCCGCGACGCGGTCGCCATCAGAAGCAGCTGCGGCAAAACAATACTTGAAGCTCCTCGAGCAGACCTGAAGCCACGGCCGCTGCGTGCTCATGGAACACGTAAGGGATGAATAGGCTGGCGTCACTCACGTACGGTCACAGCCTTCCTCGATGCTGCGACGTAGACCCTGAGTTCAGTCAGGCACAGTGGCCGCCAGGCACCGGGCGGTCGCGGGCGGTCGAGGGCGGGCTTGCGCATCTCATCGGGGGCCAATATTTCCGCAGAAACACCCGTCGGTGGCCGACGTCAATGGCCTCCGATGGCGTCAGAGGCTTAGCACCGACGGACAGGTAGTCCTGGTGGCGCTGCACATCTGACACGAAGGTGAGCGATGGTGGACATGACGAACATGCTATGACTCGGACCCCCGAACGGCGTCAAAGGTCACCGCACACGCCGAGGGGGCGCCCTGCATGACGGTCTGCTGATCCGCCGTTAGGGAAGCCGACAAAGCCGAGTCAACGAGGTGAATGTCGCTCGAAGAGTCTTCGCGAGACTCTTCCTGAACGTCGAGAGCTGCCCATCGCCGTGGGCGGACTCGCCCACGCGCGCGGCCGCCACGGAGGCGTCGGCAATGCCACCCCGCACGTCCGCCACTTGAAGCTCACCCTCGAAGAGATCTCCAAAGCAGCCGCCGCCAACGACCCCGATTGCAAACACTACATAACACACGTTGGTCTCATCGGTGCCCAGCAGCTCGACAAGGCTAAGACGGCCGGCTCTGGTGCCCCACCGGGTTCCGACCTCACGCTGGCCCGGTCTCCACCAGTCCAGGAGTGAACGATCGCGGCTGTCCTCGGCAACGATACGCTCAAGGCCGCGTCCAACTTGGACAGCCACGACGCCTTCACGGTGAAACTCGCCCCTGGCGAGGCACTCGAGACCGATGGCCACTTGACGTCGCGAGGTGGTCACAGTGGCGAGTGCGCCAGCGTCGGCGAAGCTGGACAGATGTAGCGTCTTCGTCAGAAAGCTGAGCATATTGATCGACCAACGCCCATGCTTGACCGCGTGGCGTCGCAATCTGGCCGGGCACTCCGTAGACTGACCCACCCAAGTCTATTCGGCGACCCAATGACTGACAGCCGCTGCACCATGGCGAGCATACATTTGAACTAGAACCACGCGCGCGCTTCGCGCGCGCTTAGGTTCTAGCAAGGATCATTCTCGCTGGGAGTTTGACGTAGCTTCTCGGGAGCCTCTGAACCTGTCGGGGGCCTCCTGGAAGCAGGTTCGAAGCATTTGGGGGGCCGATTTGGGGCTTCTCGGGGCCTCCTTTGGGCCTCTTGGGGGTCTCCTGGGGCCTCTTGAGGGGCCTCCTTGGGGCCTCCTGGCGGCCTCTTGGGGCGGAAGGCTCGAGCTTGCGGTTCGTGGTCCCCCTCTGGGCCCCCTCTTGGGCCCGTCTTGGGGCCCTCTTGGGCCATCTTGGGCGCCTCTTGGGCCGTCTTGGGGCCCTCTTGGGCTGTCCTTGGGCCCTCTTGGAAGCTTCTTGGGCCGTCTTGGGGCGGTCTTGGGCGCCTCGTGGGCCGTCCTGTAACGTCGGAAAGCCCAAAAAGCAACTTTGTGAAAAATGTACGTTTTACGAAGGGAATGGGCCAATGTTTGCGTCTAGGGGCCCTCTTGGGACGCATGTTGGAGGCTTCTTGGGGCGTCTTGGGGGCGTCCTTGGACGTCTGGAGGCCATCTTCAGCATCTTGGAGCCCTCTTGGAGGCCTCTTGGAAGTTTCTTGGGCCGTCTTGGGCGCTTCTTGGGCCGTCTTGTCTGACTGGGGGGGCCTCCGGCAAGCCCCGACGAGCCTCCGGGCCCCCCGGGGCTCACATTTGTGGTCGGGGTCCCGGCCCCGCGCCCCCGGACCCGGTGCGCCGTTATATGTGTATACGGCCACAGGTCCGCTCCACCTGCTCATCTATTGCGGATGAAGCCCAATAGGAGTCGACCAGCTCTCATGCCTGGCGGTCAAGGGCTTGCTATGGGACTGCGGCGAATGCTTTCAAGGTGCCGTTGGTCCGTGAGATGGCCGAAGCCTCCACGACACGCTGCAATGCTACCTCCCGTAGTCGGGAAGGAGTTGCGCGCACCGCTGGCCGAGTCGCCAGGGAGCGCCAACAACTCTGGCAGCATCCGCGGCTGCTGGCCAAAACTTGCGCTGCAAGGCGTAGCGCCTACATGCGATATCAGTGAGTGCGGGCAAATACTGCCATGGATGGATGGTCACGCATGGTGACCCGTAGGCATTCACACCTAAGTTGCTCGTCAGCGCAGCGCATGGCGCGTCGCTCGTTTGAAACTTGCACTCGACCACGAACCCATGTCGAACGAAGAACAGCTTAGCGTCAGCTCGAAGAGTGCCTCCTTCGCCGTCAACCACCAAAGCCTTGAACGGTCCGACTATCGATATGAAGTATTAGAGAATGTCTGAAAACAGGCGGTCGGAGGACCGACGCCCAGCATCACTCACATCTCCCTCGAGCAGTCGTACTGCAAG